ATCTGGGGAAGTCTTTATAGGAGAAAAACAATCAGCTTAGCCTTGAATATTGAATAATATATGAATCTGAGGGGGAAAGGGAATCACAAAGATATAGCATGAGTAAAGTCATAGAGACATGGCATATATGAAGAATGAATACAGGGAGGCTGGAGCAATAGCACAGCGGGTAGGGCGTTTGCCTTGCACGCGGCAGACCCAGGTTTGATTCCCAGCATCCCATATGGTCCCCCCAAGCACCGCCAGGAGTAATTCCTAAGTGCAAAGTCAGGTGTAACCCCTGTGCATCACCAGGTGTGACCCAAAAAGCAAAAAAATAAAAGAATGAATACAGGGATTGGATACCGTTGTATGCTTAACTTGTGGGAGGCCCAGATTCACTGTTTCCTGAGATACCTCTGGGAGGTGACTCCAAAGTACTGAGTACTGAGAATAGTTCACAAGTAACATTGGACATGGCTCAGAAATCAGGAGGGGAAATATAAAGTTTGTATAGTTTAGTTCTGCCAAGACAGTTGGTAAAGACTATTAGAGTCTTTTGAAGTATTACGGAAGAAAGGCGGACGTAGACAGATGGAAGGTAAAGATAGTTAGTTTGGCCACCAAAGACATGTTTTGTTTGACCTAGAATATTTGAGTCAGTTTTGAAGATCAGATTTTACATAACTGTCATATTGTGGCTCCTCCTGAAATTTTAAAAAGATCTGGCAATTCAAGGCATATATTCTCAAGACAACAGTTAACTAGAGCCAAGTAGTGTGTGCCTTACTGCAAGTGGGTGTTAGTTTTGTCTCCGCAACACAGAAACCATGTTTTGTCTCCTACCTTTATGCTACTCTTCAGTCCCAAGTATATCTTAAGTGATCTCACTCCTACAGATGCAACCTCAGGTCAACGCAGACAACCAAATGCCAAAGTCCTCTCTTCCAACTTGTTGACTCACGCTTAAGTTGGTTTTTGGTATTCCTTAACCTTCATTTCTAAACACAAACTCCTCAAAATTATGAGGCATGAAAATATTTAAAACATTTTTGGAGTTTGGAGGCCACACCCAGCTGTGCTCAGGGTTAACTTCTGGTTCTGCACTCAGAGCCTGGCAAACTCGGGAGACCACATGGGTTCAAGGGATAGAACCCAGGTCAGCCACTTACAAAACAAGCACCATATCCACTGTACTATCTGGACCCTAAAACATCACTTATTAACAACTCATGCTGTGCAGAATCTGAGACTGAAAACAGTATGAATCAAACACATTGAAGTTTGGAGTCGGGCAGCTTGTCTCTTTCCATGCAACAAATTAATTAGAATGTTAGCAGAACCCTTCTCTATGGACTTTTGCTACTAGTCAAGGATTCAGCCTTGAAAAGTTTTTAGATGGATTATTCCTTTTCCAAACATCTATATTTTACTCTTCTCTGCTTTATAATTCACCTCAAAGTGTCACCTGTAGACTTCTGTGTGTTGACAAGAAGGGCATACAAACATCTCTGAATAATCGGGGCTGGAATAATAGCATAGCGGGTAGAGCATTTGCTTTGCATGTGGCAGACCCGGGTTCGAGTCCCAGCATCCCATATGGTCCCCCAAGCACCAACAGGAGTAATTCCTGAGTGCATGAGCCAGGAGTAACCTCTTGCCATCACTGTGTGTGACCCAAAAAGAAAAAAAAATCTCTGAATAATCAAATTCTAATTGGGACAGAAAAATTGACATTTGGATAATGTACCTGCTTTGCAAGGGTGACTAGGTAAGCAGATGTACCAGCAGGAACCCTTCACAGAGTCCCAGAAGCCCTCAAGATGTAGCCCCCTTTTCGGCAACACTAATGAATTTAGTTGTCAATTTGGTAAGTCTTAATGCCAAGCTTTATAGCTAAGATAGATAGATAGATAGATAGATAGATAGATAGATAGATAGATAGATAGAAAGAAATATAGATAGATAGATAGATAGATAGATAGATAGATAGATAGATAGATAGAAATATAGAGAAACAAATATACAGAATGAAAGAAATGCAGAGAGGGAAAAGTTAAAAAGGGAAAAAAGAATGAAAAACCTGACTTAATTTCATTTAGAAAATTAGATTTGAAGTGCCCCTCCCCTGTGTAGCAGTTCCATCAATGCCCTCACCATACAAATACCCAGAAGGATTCATTCGTCTTTTCTGTTCTCTTAGATAGATGTTGGTGTTCCTGTAGGTTGAGGTTCAGTAATTCTAGGATATTAGAAAAGTTTTTATGTACTATGTCAAGCAGGAAGAAAATGAACCACAAAATTGGATGCTCTGTGCAGAACAGTCAGCACTTTCCTCCAAGGAGAGAACACACAATTGGCATGAAAGTGACCCAAGTAACGGGTTGAGTCTGAGAACGTCCAAAAAAGTCAAAAGCTTCGAGCTCCTCATCTTCTCGGGCATCACACAGTGACTGTCTTTATGCAGCATACGTGTTTGACCAGATGCAAATCACTGGCTCATTTAAATGCCATTTGTGGACCAGTGGGAATGAAATGGTAACGCTTAAATGCTCAAATCCACAAGAGGTTTTTGTTTTGTTGGCTTTTCCAGAGTGTGGTTTTTCACCATCTGTTTCTTTTAGTGAATAAACGAGGAAAATGGTTGGTTTGCAATGCAGAATTTTAAAAGATCAGATGACCACTGGCATCCTCTAAATGAGAAGGAGCAAGCTAGTTGGGGTTTGGTGACATTTGTCAGGAAGTGAGATGTTAAGTACCAGGAAGCATTATTATTTTGTGCCAGGAAAATCCACAAAGGCAAGGAACAGTGCCGATTGTGACCACACCTTCTGTATGTTCCAAACCAGCGAGCCCTAAAGTAATGGATTCGTTTTCTAAAACAGAAGCAGTGGAGAGATTTGAAGATATGGTGACTGTATGCTAATCTTAATTTATTTATTTATTTATTTATTTATTTATTTATTTATTGAATCACCATGAGATACAGTTACAAAGTTTTCATGATTGAGTTTCAGTCATACAATGATCAAACACCCATCCCTCCACCAGTGCACATTTTCCACCACCAATGTCCCCAGCATCCTCTCACCACCCCCACCTCATCCCACCCCCTGCCTCTGCCTCTGCTCCAGGCACCTTCCTTCTTATTCGCTCTCTACTTTGGGCATGGTGGTTTGCAATACAGATACTGAGAAGCCATCATGTTTGATCCTTAGTCTACTTTCAGCACACATCTCCCATCCTGAGCCATCCCTCCAATCATCATTGACTTAGTGGTCCCTTCTCCATCCTAATTGCCTTCTCCCCAAACACATGAGACAGGCTTCCAAACGTGGGTATATGCTAATCTCTTTTACCTTCTTTACAAGAACCGATCAGCTGCAAGTAACAGGATTTAAATAAAACTGAGCTTTAGGCGTTTTTGAGCCTCAGGAGGAAAGGATATCAACGTGTTTGATTCCATTCCATTTCAACATAAGATGAACAGGAAAGTGTTTTACATAGGCAATTGACACCAATTTTCACATTAGAGAAAAGAAAAAACATGACAGTTTCTGCAAAACAGCCACTTATTCCTAATTTTTTATTGTGTATTCTAAAAAATTTCATGAGAAATACTTTACTTAGGCAGTGATGTGGAAGTGAAGGACAAGAATTATATAGAATCCAGACCCTGATCATGTAAAAGTCCTTGCAGAATTAAATATATTTCGAAATAAGTTGGAGTTCATTGCCTGTGTTTAAGATAACAATGACGTTTGTGGATATGAAAATATTTGCTTGCTGGTATTGTAGATTGACATTGGTTCCAGATGCCATAGTTGTAATGAGTGTTTGACTTTTTTGACATCTCTTCCACATCAGATGTTGTCTTCTCTAGTACTTAAAGTCCTGGATTTTGTTATTGGGATTCCTGACTCAGTATCAAAGTGTGTGTGTGTGTGTGTGTGTGTGTGTGTGTGTGTGTGTGTGTGTGTGTTTGGAGGCCATACCCACCAATGATCCAGACTTACTCCTGACTCTGTACTCAGGAATTACTTCTGGCTTACTTCTGGCTTGGGGGACCATATGGGAAGCTGGCAAGCCCCTCGCCCACTGTACTATCTCTCAGATTTTTCATTTATTTTTTTTTTAAGAGCATTTACTTTGTTAAAGTACTCAACTGACTTACGGAGTTTTATCTGTTCTCATAATGTTGAGTGAAGAAGCACCCTAAACAGCCAGTGAAGGTATGAGAGGGATTTTAAGTAATGGATCTCTGCATTATTCACTTTACAAATGGTTTTAGTACTTTTATTTATTGATTTATGTATTTCTAGTACAGTATACTTTTGATTGATGCTTCAAAGCCATGGTCTAGTTACCTTCACCATTTAAAAGTGATTCTTCAGCTCAATCAATGGTTGACTAAATAGCAACACTCCTACATTAAAAAAAATAAAAAATAAATAAAAATTATTCTTCTGGGGCCCAAGAGACAGCACACAGTAGGCAGGGTGCTTGCCTTGCATACAGAAGATCTGGGGTCAATCCAGGCACACCACATGGTTTCCCAAGCATCACCAGAAGTGATCCCTCACTGCAGAGCCAGGAGTAAACCCTTAGCATGGTCAGGTGTGGTTCAAAAACCAAAAAAATTAAATTAAAAGTGAAAAAATAAATGATTTTCCCTAAAAGTGTATTCTCCCTTAAAAGATTTGACCAACTCTGAGATGATTTGTTACCATGAGAAAGGGGAATAGAGATAATTTAGAGACTTGTTCCTCCTTGGTATTCAAGAAGAATTTAAGTATACTGACTTGATGTCTATCTGATCTTTCCTTTTCTCTCTTACATTCTTTCTCTCTCATTTTTCTCCTTCCATTCCTCCTTCTATTCTCTTTCCCTTCCTCTATTTCTTTCTTTCTTTCTTTTTCCTTTTTTTTTCTTTTTCATGGGAAAGGTGTCTTATTAAGATTAGAAAGTTCATTCAGGACTTGGGATTGGAATTTTAAACTCATGTCTTCTCTTTTCCACAGGTGATAACCCCAGTGAGAACAAACCTTGGCTATGTATATGAGTACCCAACCAGATACCAAAAGGACACCTATGATATCCCTCCTTCCCATGCCACTCAAGGGGTATGTAACAAGAACCAGTTACCAGAGAGAAAGTAGCTCTTCACAATAGCATCTCTTTAAAGCTACAGAGGGAAAAGAATTTCAGGGGTTTAGTACATGTGATTATTTATTTTGGTTGTCTTTCAAAGCCATTTTCACCTATGCCATTTATAGTTTTCTGGATTTTCTTTGTCAGGAAATCAAGATTTTAAAAATCTGGAAGCTTCTAAATCTATCATTATATTTTAGGAAGTATAAATTTTAAATAATAGGTTTAAGTGTGTTTCACTTAGAATCTTCTTATATTCATTGTAGTGAAAGAATAAAAAATTTAAGATTAAAATTTCCATCATCTGCTTATTATATTGGCATTAATATATTATTTTGTGTTAATAAAATATTATTTTTAAATATTGATATATTATTATTATATTCGATAATATATCAATATTTAAACATAATATTTTATTAACACAAAATAATAAAAACACATGCATCATATTACACATTAAAATACTCTTTATAATATATAAAAATATTACATATAATGCATACTAGATACTATGTATTACTATGTAGTATATATGCTATATAATACTAAATATAGTATATATGGGCTGGAGTGATAGCACAGCGGTATAGGCTGTGTAGGGCATTTGCCTTGTATGCAGCCAACCTGGCCAACCCGAGTTCGATTCCTCCACCCCTCTCAGAGAGCCCGGCAAGCTACCGAGAGTATCTCGCCCGCACGGCAAAGCTTGGCAAGCTACCTGTGACGTATTCGATATGCCAGACACAGTAACAAGTCTCACAATGTTACTGGGCCTGCTCAAGCAAATCGATGAACAACGGGAGGACAGTGCTATAGTATATATAATATGCTATATAGTATATAAGCCAAATAAGGATATATATATATAGCCTAGTAAATAAATCCAAAATTCAAAACTTAGTATGAAAAACAACAATAGAACATGTCCATCCTAAGTGACTCGAGTATTTCTCTTTAGGTATATGACATCCCTCCATCATCAGTGAAAAGCTCTGCATTCTCAGTTCCAGTGGGAGAGAAGAAACCTCAAGGGGTATATGACATCCTTCCTACCAAAGGGGTAAGTGAATACAGTGCAGCATAAAAATGTGTGTGTGTGTGTGTGTGTGTGTGTGTATGTGTGTGTGTTCATGCATGCATGCACAGATGTGCAAACAGGAGGAAGGAAAGAAATTCAATAATTAAAGAAAACTTCGGGGATTGCATATTTAGGAACCCTCTCTTAATAAATGGAAAGCTCACAAAAGAGAACCAATAGATAACAAGGTAAAATAATTAATTTTGTTATTATGAGGCAATTCATACATATCATATATAGAGAGGTTTTATTATTTATGCATCCATGTATATATAGATTAATATATTTTATTCTGCTGCCCTCGTATATGTGCACAAGAAGTACAGTTATCCTTGTTTTAGAGATGAAGGAATTCTCATATTTAAACAATTTATTCAGCCTCACACTGCGAGTAGACTAGGGAGAAACCTCAGGTCCTCTGACTCCTAGTCTGGTATGTTAACACATCATCTGCTTCTCAGATGAATCTTCCAGGGAAAGAAGTCTAGCAGGCATGTCATGTAGGACTCAGAATGACATAAGGAGAACGAACTACTCAGGCAGGAGTGTTCTATACCCAAAACAGTAAGGAAGGATGCACTTTCAAAGAATAAGGGAAGTGGGAACAGAGCTGAGAATATCCCCGAGAAATGCTTGCTAGTAGTGGGTGAAAATGGCAAGATGAAAGAGAAAGCAGCAAACAGAACTGAGACTGCTGGACTTCATTTTAATGCCCTATTCTCATGAGCCAGCTGAATAAGTAACTTTGGTTCTTACTTACTTTTCAGGTATATGGTATTCCATCTGCTTCTAGCCAAGAGGAAGCAGGACTCAGGGAAAAGGAGTATGATTTTCCCCCTCCAATAAGACAAGCTGGAGGGTTAAAAGTCAGACCTGAGGGTGTTTATGACATCCCCCCAACTAGCACCAAGACAGGGGAAAAGGACGTTCATATAAAATACCACTGTGATGCTATAGGAGTTTCTGAAGAGGCCGCGCAAAAACACCCAAGTGCATCCCCAAGCCATATACCCCGACAGCTGGGACAGTCAGCAGGCACTCAGAACGATGCTTATGATGTCCCCCGAGGGGTTCAATTTCTTGAGCCACCAGCAGAAACCAGTGAGAAAGCAAACTCTGAAGAAAGATATGGAGTTTATGATGTTCCTCTACACAATTCGTCTGAAACCCAAGGCTCCCAGGATGTGGTAGATGGGATCAATAGGTTGTCTTTCTCCAGTACAGGCAGTACCCGGAGTAATATGTCCACGTCTTCCACAACCTCAAAGGAATCTGCATTGTCAGCCTCCCCTTCTCAGGACAAAAGACTCTTACTGGATCCAGACACAGCCATTGAGAATCTTCACCGGCTCCAACAGACCCTAGAAATGGGTGTCTCCAGCCTAATGGCATTGGTCACCACAGACTGGCGATGCTACGGATACATGGAACGAAACATCAATGAGATACGCACCTCAATTGACAAGGTGGAATTGTCCCTGAGAGACTATCTTCATTTTGCCAAGGGAGCTGTCGCAAATGCTGCCTGCCTCCCTGAACTCACCCTCCACAATAAAATGAAACGGGAGCTCCACAGAGTAGAAGACTCCTACCAGATTCTGAGTCAAATTAGCCATGATCTAAATGTGTGTAACTGGTCCCTGAATATCCTAGCCATCAGCAAGCCCCAAAACAAACGTGATGATCTGGACCGATTTGTGATGGTGGCAAAGACAGTGCCAGATGATGCCAAGCAGCTCACCACAACCATCAATAACAATGCAGAATCTCTCTTCAGATCAGGTCCTGGTAGCTCACATGGGATGAATGGACCTGAGAGCATCATGAACTCTGTCGAATACCACCCTGGTCACCAGATGCTGCATCCTGGGGAACACAAGAACCAGGCCCTCAATAAGCCATTGACCTCACACTTAAGAAAGGACCAAGCCCCTGAATGTAGTAGCAGTGACGGTTCTGAAAGGAGCTGGATGGATGATTATGACTATGTCCACCTACAGGTACAAAACTAAATTGATAAGATTGATAAGGCACCTATGTTAATATTTGCGGAGTCAGGAACAATGCTTATAATGCAGTTCAATTAGAGTACTAGACAAGGGTGATTAATGCTAATACAAATCAGTCACAAATTGAAAGTGATATTACACAGTAGGAACTCTGGACTTTGGCACTGAACATTTTCTGACACTGTGTGACCAACTTGTATAATATCCCTGAGTCTTTTTTCCCCTCATTTGCAAACTAAACATAAGGTTGGATTTTATCCCATTGAGATATACCTCAGACAAGAAAGAGACTTTCCCAATTCGCATTTAGAGTAGGATCTCAGATCCAGCCCTACTTCTATTTGTACTTTATGATAGGATTTAAAATTATTTGACAGAATTGGCACCTCACTGCTAGAGAAAAAGGAAAATGTTTATACTAGAGAATGAATTCGACAGTGTCTTTATGTGTGTCAGTGTGCATGTGCAGAGAAACTTAATCACGCTTCACACCTTGAGAATCACTGAATATGAATATGACCTATAATTCACACTGCCAGTGGGAAATTGAGCAGTCACAAGTCTGCCTCCAAAAAAGAGAAATTACGAGCTAACCTGTAATCCTGACAGGTTTCCTTTCCACTTTACAGTTAAACATTTTACCAAAGTCCATTATTTAGAATTTTTTCGTATCATAGTGATATTATTTAGAATTGTATAGTATCATATGCTTCTGTTCTTTTAACTTGACTTGAAACCAGTGATTCTCCTGAGAATACTAATCCCTTCAGGGTAAGAGAGTGGAGAAGAAAAGCTGAATCAAGCAAGAAAAAATGGAGGCTTTCACATTCACTTTGCTTAGTTGTCAACTGTGTACGTTGAGAAGTACTAAGTTGATGCAGAGAGGCAGATAATTAGAAGAAACTGGAAATACAATGTGAAGAACATTTAGAATTTAAAAATATTTATGGGGAGCTGTAGCGATAGTATATCAGGTAGGGCGTTTTCTTTGCACGCAGCCGACCCAGGTTCGATTCCCAGCATCCCATATGGTCCCCTGAGCACCGCCAAGAGTAATTCCTGAGTGCAGAGCCAGGAGTAACCCCTGTGCATTGCGGGGTGTGACCCAAAAAGAAAAAACACAATAAAAATATTTATGGCCTCTCATATGATCTATTTGAATAAATTGAGAAATTGCAACAGTTTGAAAGGGTCATGAACTCTGACAATGCTGAAGTGAAGCAGAGACTGGTACTTCACATGGTTTTTGGTTTTCAGTCCTAAGCTTTGTGATGATTCTGGAAGTCTGGCTGAGAAGCATGTCATCTCTTTTTGGGGTTCATAGGGCCTAATTGAGCTTATGGTAAATTGGCAGTGTAGTAAAATATAGAAGAATATTTAGACATCTGTCAATGAAATCCTTATAAATGATTCAAAGTGGTGATGTAATGTTTTATTTATATTGAAAAATAATAGGGAAAGGAGGAGTTTGAGAAACAACAGAAAGAGCTATTGGAAAAAGAAAATATCATCAAACAGAACAAGATGCAATTGGAACATCATCAGGTAAGTTCAAATAGAACAAAGACTGTTAGAAATATTTTCCACCCAGTGAGGAAGGCATAGCTTCAAAAGATTATGATTTTGATCTCTTTAGCACACTTTGGCATGAACTAACTTTAAGGCATATAATAGGGTAGAAGAAAAAAAAGAAAGTTTATTGCTTTAGTGATGCAGCTAAGTGAATCTGAATCCATCCAAATAGCAATTTTTCTAGTCTAAGATATTAGAATTAAGCACTTTAGGGTTAAGGCTTTTAGTCGCAAGGAGCAAAATCCACTCAGGCTAGACCAAACATGTTTAATAGTAGGGGAATTCAAGGAGAGAAAATAAAAATATACTCAAACTGAGTGATTCCCGTTCTTGATCTTTCTTCCTTGGCTTCTTTCCAAAACTCCCAAACTGCTTCCTACCCTCCTGTTTTCTAATTTTTCTCTACTCAACTACTCATTTGGCTACCCTATGACATCACAGAGCCTACAACTACTCAAAGTGCTTTTAATGAAAGGCTTTTCATCTCAGTTTCTTCAGCTGATAGTCAACTCCTTCTTTATGCTCATCAAGACCTCAAAGGATATACCTTCTGAGTGCTGTTGGGTGTGTCTAAAAAATAAACTAGGGCCGGAGCCATAGCACAGCGGGTAGGGTGTTTGCCTTGCATGCAGCTGACCTGGGTTTGATCGCCAGCATCCCATATGGTGTCCCCCAATCACTGCCAGGAGTAATTTCTGAATACAGAGCCAGGAATAATCGCTGAGCATCGCTGGGTGTGACCCAAAAAGTAAAAATAAATAAATAAATAAATGACTTATCTATGTCTATCGATCTACCTACCTCTCTCACCAGACATCTCCTGTGTAGATCAGTCTACACAAGCCTACAGTGTGGCTGTCTTTGGTCCAATCCAAGGAAAGGAAGGAAGAATTCACTATTTTCCAAAACCTTGCAAGACCATATTCTAAGAATTTTAAAAAGGCTAAAATTGGGCATGTGTAGGTCAAATAATTACAGGTATTATATTGCAAGTACAGAGGTATAAAAAATAAAGATAAATGGATTGCGAATTTATAAAACTTACGATTCAAGGATCTCCTTAAGAAGGAATAAGTTGATAGAGAACAAAAGGCAATTCCCTGCCACAGAGGCAGGGTGGAATGGAGGGATGGGGGGTGGGAGGGATACTGGGATCCGTGGTGGTGGAAAATGGGCTCTGGTGGAGGGATGGGTATTTGATCATTGTATCATTCATAATCATTGTATAATTGAAACCCAAGCACAAAAATTTGTAAGTCTACAACTGTACCTCATGGTGTTTCACTAATAAAAATTTTAAAAATTTTTTAAAAAAAAGGAAATTCTAACCAAAAAAAAAAAAAGAAGAAGAAATAAGTTGTTGGGGCTGGAGCGATAGCACAGCAGGTAGGGCGTTTGCTTTGCACGTGGCCAACCAGGGTTCGATTCCCAGCATCCCATATGGTCCCCTGAGCACCGTCAGGAGTAATTCCTGAATGCAGAACCAGGAGCAACCCCTGTGCATCGCCAGGTGTGACCCAAAAAGCAAAAAAAAAAAATAGAAGGAATAAGTTGTTAGTGACTTATATGATAAAGAGATTCCTATATTTTTTAGTTTTCCTTACCAGCACTTAATATTTAAGAAACAGTTACACTGGGCCAGCAAGATAGTGCAATGGCACTTGTCTTGCACACAGCTGATCCAGATTCAATCTCTGGTACCATTTATGATCCCTCAAGCTCAATCAGGAGTGATTCCTGAGCATCGCCAGGTATGACTTACAAAAAGTCACTAGTAAGCCTGAAGGGGGCTGGAGCAATAATATAGTAGGTAGGCCATTTGCCTTGTACAAGGCTGAACCGGGTTCAATTCCCGGCATCCCATTTGGACCTCCAAGCATAGCCAGGAGTAATTTTTGTGTGCAAAGCCAGGAGTAACCCCTGAGCATCACTGGGTGTGCCCCAAAAAGCAGAAAAAATAAATAGTAAGCCTGAAGCACATTTGGGTGTAGCCCCAAAACGAAACATAAATAAATAAACATTTACATGGAACCTACAATAGATCAAACACTCTTGTAAGCTTTTGAAAAAATTAATTCATGCAATTCTCATAAAGGTGTAAGATATCATCAGGGGTTTTATTCGATGCTGTTTTCCAACCTGAGGGCAGAAGAGATCAGTCAAGATACTCTCAGTAGCTTGCCGGGCTCTCCGAGAGGGGCGGAGGAATCGAACTCGGGTCGGCCATGTTGGCTGGGTGCAAGGCAAACGCCTTACCCGCTGTGCTATCGCTCCAGCCCTCTCTGTCACTACATCTTACAATTTAAGAAAGCAGGGCAACCTGGCCAAGATATCATATCTAATAAGCCACTGATGCTGATTTGAAATTTAAAATCTCTCTTAAATCCTGCTTCATTTTTCATACCACACGTATACCCTTAATGAAATACATTGTCTCCTTTGTTGCAGTTAAGTCAGTTCCAGTTGTTAGAACAAGAAATTACAAAACCTGTGGAGAATGACATCTCCAAGTGGAAGCCCTCTCAGAGTCTCACAACCACAACCAGCAACGTGAGTGCTCAAGACAGGCAGTTGCTTTGCTTCTACTATGACCAGTGTGAGACCCATTACATTTCTCTTCTCAACGCCATTGATGCTCTCTTCAGTTGTGTTAGCTCAGCCCAGCCCCCACGGATCTTCGTGGCCCACAGCAAATTTGTCATCCTAAGTGCGCACAAACTGGTGTTCATTGGAGATACTCTGACACGGCAAGTTGCTTCACAGGACATTCGCAACAAAGTCATGAACTCCAGCAACCAACTGTGTGAACAGCTCAAAACCATAGTCACCGCCACCAAGACTGCTGCCCTCCATTATCCCAGTACCACCGCTTTGCAAGAAATGGTACACCAGGTCACAGACCTTTCCAGGAGCACTCAGCTATTCAAACGCTCTTTGCTGGAGATGGCAACATTCTAAGGAGAAAAGGGAGGGTCTACGCTGGTTACTATGGAAAACTGGAAATACTGTCTGGTTTTTGTAAATGTTATCTATTTTTGTAGATATTTTATTATTAAAATTTTATAAGCCAAATACAGTGGTTTGATGTAGGTTATATTTTTGATTCTTCTGTATAAATAAGCATTTTAAGATGTTAAGCGTACAAAAAAAATTCCATTTGTATGTCTACGTATTCATGTTTGTTTGTAGATGTTTGATAAACATTCCATTAAAGAAATAATAAGCATAGTAAGGACCTCCAGTGCTGCATTTCTTTAAAGAAAATGTATCACTAGTTATAATATTGCTCTCCATATATTGAGTGATTATTCTGAGTCTGTCACTTGCAAATGTGGGAAGCAGGGTATGTATGCAAGTTTTCTTCTCCCCAAAATGAGGCAGGTTGTAGATTGTTTTGATTTCTCAATTCCCTCAAAGAGTGATTGTTATAGGGACATTGTGAGAAAAAGTTTCTCTTCTTGTTAAAAACATAAAAAAGCCCCTTTAGCAAGTTTCAAAAAGCATATATTAATTCAAGTTCCAATATTTTAAGTGCTCTGAAGGAGAAGAGTTTCTGTCATTGGGTGTCCTGTCTTCAGAATGGGTTTCAACACAAAGAGACTCCCCCAAGTACAGAAGAGCCTGGATTTCCCCCGAAACTTTCCCCAATTTTTTTTATTAGTGAAACACCATGATGTACAGTTGTAGACTTTCAAATTTTTGTGCTTGGGTTTCAGTTATACAATGATCAAGTACCCATCCCTCCACCAGTGCCCATTTTCCACCACCGCAGGTCCCAGCATCCCTCCCACCCCGCATAGCCCCCATCCTACCCTGCCTCTGTGGCAGGGCATTCCCTTTTGTTCTCTCTCTCTCCTTTTGGGTGTTGTGGTTTGCAAAAGAGGCATTGAGTGGTAGTCATGTTTGGTCTATAGTCTACTTTCAGCATTTGTCTTCATTTATGCAGTTTTCCATAGTATGTTTATGTATTTGCAACAGAAATTTATATTTTAAAAAAGCATAGGTGGCTGTGATCATCCACACAGTGAAAGGATGTTTCCCTCTGCCTCTTGCAAGCAAAGGTCTTTCTGATCCTCAGCATTTACCTAGCTGCTGCTGCTGTCATTACCTGAATGGAACAGGTCAGTTCTTTGATCATATAAATCTGATTAGAGTCACATCCAACTCTATAAGAATGCATTGTGTTATCACAAGAGTCAGGACCACATGCTCTGTATGCTCCAGACTTGGTTTGATCCCAGGAACTTCTATGGTCCTCTGAGCACTGTTAGGTATAGTCCTGGAGGCCTACATTAGCCTAGGTGTGTCCCTAATAACTGCTAAGTATTGGGGCTCCCTGGTGGTCTTCCAGCATTATAGGACTGAGCAGCACAGCTTTCGTGAGCCCTACCATTGAACCATCCACCCAGTTGGCTAAATATTGCTGAAAGTAGTACTCAGGTGCCCTGAGCACTTCTTGGATGCCTTCCTCAAAAACACAGTTCAGCAACAAGGAACCTTTACAATGTTTGTGGCCAAAGTCTATGCACGCCCCTGTACAGAGACTGCTGTATCTTTCAATTCCTTGTCACATCATCTGAAGCATGGTGTGTTCCCTCGCACTTGCTGATGTTGGAAGAGCACAGACACTATTGCCACAAGATTCAAAATACAGCAAAGTGAAGTATTTCCCAACCAATGTGTTGCGATAGCCACATATTTCCAAGTTAAAGATTATTATCTAGGGTCTTTCGGTTCAGTTATTATTTAATGATTTTATTCTAACCTAATTCGCAGTGGTTTTATTTGCAACCTATGCCTTGACTTGATTAATCTTGCCCATTTAGGCTGCCAAACGATTAGAATATGAGAGAATTTAAGATATGAGTGCTTAATCTCGGGGCTAGAGCAATAGCACAGTGGGTAGGGCGTTTTTCTTGCACACAGCCAACCCGGGTTCGATTCCCAGCATCCCATATCCCGATTCCCAGCATCCCTGAGAACCACCAGGAGTAATTCTTGAGTGCAGAGCTAGGAGTAACCCCTGTGCATGGCCGGTGTGACCCAAAAAGCAAAAAAAAAAAAAGTGCTTAATTTCAGTATGATGAAAAGAAAATCAGTGAGGGATCTGGGAGATAACTCAAAGAGCTAGTGCATATGCCTTGCATGCACAAGGTCCTGATTTTGATTTCTAGCACTACATACTGCCTCTCCTTCACCCCATCCATGCTCATACCCAGCACTGCCAGGTATAGTCATAGGAGCTCACAGATACGCACACTGGTACCCACCACCACATCACTGGGCCTAGCGTTGAGCCATCAGGCCCACCCTGCTCAATTGAATATTGATGGGGCTGGCTACTATATTCCCAGCATTGGATAGCCAGCGCCCTTCTCCCCTGGAAAATCAATGAAGCTTATGACAGATGGTGGCTGTCAAAAAAAGTGGATCTCATAAGTAGTTCTGCTCTACCAAAAGAAGAGAAAATGATGTATAGAATATATGGGAGAGGATGGGGACTACTAAGAACATGTTTAAAGCTGAAAGTATGTCCTTTAATGTGTGTATTTTTTAGAAGATGGCAGACTTGCTCACTACTTCAGTCTCAAAACTATTTGTTTAATCCGTATTACTTTGCCAATTTGAGGTCATTAAATCTTAGAAATCTTTTTGTATAGCCATTGGTTTTTTCTTTTTCATATTTCATCACAGAATTAAACATTGGCTTATTTGGGCATCCCTATGAAGAAAAACAAATTAAAATGGCTTGTTTACAAAAACTGAACTTGTTAGGAAAATTGAATATTTGTTTTGGTTTTTTTATTTTGTACACGTCTAAGTGTATCTGCATTTAAAGAAAATCTTGGAAATATTACCAAACAATTTAAAACACAAATATATTAAATAATGCTTCTCAATAGTAAGGCTGCATAGAAAAGTAATGGGTGGGATGCTGGGGAGATATGTCAAAGGGTTATGGCCCAGATCTTGTATGTGTGAGGTCTGGAGTTCAAACTCCAGCACTGAATGGTCCTCGTGAGAACTCCAAAGTGCTCTCAGGATGGGCTTCATGACCCTATTCTCCACTGGCCCTGAGAAGCATCACATCATGAGGCATAAATCACCAGGCACAGTATCACGAAGAATGGGGCCAGAGCCCTTTCAACTGGAAGTTGCCCCTCAAAGTGATGAATCAAATGCTAATAAGGATGGTACCATTCATGTTATTTTAGAATCAACAGCAATCATTTTACTCATTCTGAAGTATAAATGGGCTGGAGCGATAGCACAGCGATAGGGCGTTTGCCTTACAAGCAGCCAACATGGCCGACCCGAGTTCGATTCCTCCGCCCCTCTCGGAGAGCCCGGCAAGCTACCGAGAGTATCGTGCCACACGGCAGAGCCTGGCAAGCTACCCATGATGTATTTGATATGCCAAACACAGTAACAACTAAGTCTCCAATGGAGACGTTACTGTGCCCGCTCGAGCAAATCGATGAACAACGGGAGGACAGTGACATGATGATGAAGTATAAATAATTAGCATAAAATTCGAGTAATTTGGAATCAGAATTATAGAGGTGGGACTAAGATAGTGGAGAAAAGAGCTTGGTGAACAACACTAGGCAGCTAAATGAATAGACTAGAAATGCAATTCAGTTTGCTAAGCGGCCCAGGAGGGGGGATAGAAAATACAAAATTCCATGGAGCATCCCAGAGAACTTCTGCCAGGGAGAAACAGAATTAAGTGAGTTAATTACCACAGGAACACTGGGCCAGGGGAGGAATAAAGAAGCAGAAACTAGGTGGTAAGCTTGCACACATGGGTTGGAGGGAGAATCCCACACAAAAGGCTAAAGAAGAGTCATTAAATGTGATTACTAATAACCAATATTTTTTGGCATTTTGGGTCGCACCCAGCAATTCTCGGGGGTTACTCCTGGCACTGCACTCAGGAAATAATCCTGGGAGTGCTCGGAGGACCATCTGGGACGCTGATGACTGAACCCTTGTCGGCTGTATGCAAGACAAACATTCTCCCCCACTGTACTATCGCTCCGGTCTCCAGACCCCAAATATTTAAAAATTTTAGAATTCCAGGAACATACAGCCACTTTCACAGCCACATGACACTTTATACTATTCATGGCAAGCAATACAAAATAAATCATTTACCATCTGCCTAAGGGGCAGGCTCGGGTGGTGGTAGAAAGATTCAAAGTAATGGTGGTGGCAAAATGCAATAATGGTGGGATTGGTGTTGAAATATTGAATGTAAACAATTATTGCAAACAACTTTATGAACAATTTTAAAATTTTTTTTAATTTTAAAAAAAGTGCTGCAGAGTTCATACATTCTTCAATCAGTTTAATTAGTGGCTGAGTAAATCACAATTCTCCTACATTGAAAAAAACAATATGTTAAAGATCTCAATATCATGCCTTAATCCATAGATTACAATTGAGATAAACATAGAATCCTTTATGAAGTTGAAACTACATCTTCAATGATTCGACACCCTTTGCCAAGAAAATGTAAACAAAAATAAACAAATGGTACTGCATTGAATTAAGAAGCCTCTTTACCACAAAATGGTAAAGTGTTCCCACCAGGGCCCAACAGCTGAAGACCTCCGGGCCCCAGCCAAGGCCATGCTGGGACCACTCTCCACACACTTGGATGCGCCTCATGCATAAAAGAACTGGCAGAGGAACCCAGGTGTGTGGGACCCGGGGCTGAGATCTTCAAGCCTGCACGGTTTGGGACTGGACCTGCCAGTAGCTAGACAGTTACACCCACCAACTGCCGTGTAACCCCAACAACGGCCAGGATCCAGAGATTATCACACTCAGCTCCCCGAAGCTGAGTCTTATCATCTCATTCCTACTTTGGACAAACTGGCAGGCTACCAAATGTAACCTGCCCACACGGCAGAGTCTGGCAAACTCCCGGTGGTGTACCCAATATGCCAAATACCAGTAACACTGATGGGTCTCATTCTCCTAACCCTGAAAGAGCCTTGAATATGGCACTTTAAAAAAAAAATCTCAGGGCTAGGACGAAGGAGACGTTACTGGGGCCTGCTCAAGGCAATCGACGAACAACAGTATGGTCGTGATCATGATCTTTACCACAAAATAAGTGATGGCTAGAATAAAAAAGACACCTCACCAAATTGGAGAAACTATTTGCTCTCATGAAACTCATCTGACAAAGAATTAATATCTAAGATACGT